ATCGTAGTATCAGGTACCCTTGGTGGTGGTCAGCACTTGCCCCGCCAGACAATGATAATGCTACACCCCCTCAGCGTGGAAGGCAGACATCTCCAGTATCTACTAGGAAAGACAACGATCGGGCCAGCACTCTAGGCACCGAGCTACATTTTTCGTCATCCACCCTGGGTTCGAGGACGAGGGCGTATCTAGAGGAAGAGCTCTCACGACCGCTGAGTGGCGTTACTGACATATTAGATGGTAGTGTATCAGGAGGCACCTATCAGACGGCGGAGGAGGGTGATGGGTCGATGTGCTGCAGCGGAGGGGTTAGAGGATGGAGACTCGAGATGGATCCAATGGAGTTTAATGAGGACAAGTAGTACCAGGGCACAGGCTAGGGAATATCCCATCATCATTATCGAGAGTCGGTTTGGTGTCCCGAAATATTAGCTCCTCCTCCGTCTTCTCCTCAGGAGTAGTACTCGGAGGCCGCCACTCTCGGAGTCCGAAGAGGATGTAAAAACAGAGCGGGATGTGGAGAGTGATGATATCCAGAACATCCCAGCACCGTCCATACCTTGCAGTTCACCGACACTGACGTCTGCTCCTGGGAGCGAATCTTCCTTGATGGAGATTATTGATAATTGGCAGCAGGAGTTAAGGGACTTGCGTCGCCACACTCGACCAGCCCGTCCACGAGTATCTCCTCGCCCCACCACCACGGTACGGTCCGCCACTAAGAGTAATATCTCCGCACCTTCCGTATCATCCTTCTCTTCGCTGAGCATGGATTACTAACAATAATTCATCGAGCATTAATATGCATCACTATAAAGGGTCATGTTCTGTTGGTCATTCTCCGTTCGTGGCCGCCTTCTGTAGTTGTCATTCTACATCCGATGCCTTCCAGTCGAATAACATCCCGTAGGACATCTCAAGAATCATCATCGGCATCAACGACGGTTACCCCCAGTAATCGTGGTAGCACGTCCTATGCTACTAGAACAGCAAGTCGTTGAACTAATCATGATGGTCATGCAGACCTCCGCTATAGGCTCATCCCAATCGGGAGCAGCACCAAGAGCGGATAGTGGAATACCATTGACACCGCTCACCAAACATGAGCTGTTGAATCTGAGGCAGCGAGCTGTCGAGCGGAATGAGGGAGTGTGACCCCACATTGGGGGGGGTACTATAGTATTCTGTGAGTAGGTTAAGGATCTAGACCCGTATGAGGGTATAACAGAGAGGTCAGAAGTATTGAGTGCACTGAGAGGGGATGTCTTTGCACTGGAGGAGGTGTTGGAGGAATCGAGGATGTGCAAAAGGAAACAGCGATTGCTCACTGAGCAGAGGTGTTGCCTCTCGGCTGAAGAGCTCCTCCCCCTCCTCCTCTTGGTATACATCGTAGTCTTATTGCGGTTAGGCATAAGCTGGAGGAGGATACACTGGGACGAGTGAAAGGCTTACTCTCTGCGAAGTTTGCCGAAAACCATGAGCAGCTCCGGAATGTTTACAAGGAGACCTTCTGCTGTAAGAGGGACGATCTTAGGGGAGTTTGGATGGACACAATTGACGGAAATAGCAGTGAATGGATGGACAGATGTGCAGTTATTGGAGAAGTAATGCAGAGATTCGAATCTAACTAGACGCCTATGATTTGCACATTGCGGCGTTATCTTCTTAGAGGCTCATCGCCGTGTCGAATGGTATAGCAGAGGAGAGAGAGAATCGAAAGAGGGATGTCGACGGCAGCGTTGGGGATGGATTCCTCCAGAAGATAGAGGAGCTCCCGAGTGGGGGTCGCAGGTTCGAATCCCAGCATTGCTATCTACGGCCCAGGTCGAATTATAGAGTGTTCTGCTGAGCGTGAGAGGGCGGAGCAAGAATGGGGTGCTATGATGGATAGTTCTTTTGAAGAGGTACTCTATGGGTTGACTATCATTTCACTATGGGATAGTAGTAGGTAAGACGATTGCTGTCTCAAGAGAAGGGAATACGTGAGGCTCTCTTGAACGGATTACGAGTATCGGATGCCCTTGAGTAGACAACATCTGCTTATAAGGGCTAGATGTAGCTCATTCAGGGCTAGGAGGAGTAAAACTCGCCATAGTGGAGACGAGGAGAAAGTTGCTGCGGATCTCCGTGATCTCCTGCACGCCATCAACGCTGCACATGATGACCGCACATCACGGGAGGTAGGGGGTATTGACTATAGAAGGAATAGGCTGGTACCGTGGCAGGAGAGTATTATACATAGCTTGGACACCTTCCTACAGCAGTTTGAAGAGAGTACTAGGGCCAATGTGGCTACTATACAACGGGAACGTGAGGAGGTGAGAAGACCGTCTCTGGATGAGCCTACTAGATAGCTGGAGGACGAGGGGATATGTGGGTTGGCTGTGAACCCTGAGGCGCATGTCTAGTACATGCTATATTGTCGTGCTTCGGTGTTGGTAGACTCCTTGAGTTGTACTCCGGTTCCTGTACTGTGCAGTTGATCATGTGAGTACTCGTCTAGTCCCGCCCTTGATATCCCCTCACACCATAGCCTCACCACACCAGCGCCGATATCGACATTTCCTTGCACCTGACCTCCACAGAAGTACCGCTCCTCACCCCACTCAAGGTTCACCAAGGCGGTGGGTCTACCCGGCTTGGCAGCGCAAGCATTCACCCAATGTTAGTCCAAGAAGATACCAGTGTCGAAGCCGATACACGTTGCTATGATTACACTGGACCACCAACTCCTCCAGATACAACAAGGCTTTGTGATGAAGCCCCATCCTTTGGCGGTCTGGGCTTCTCCCCAGACCAGTAGTAATCCCCTATTGTATCATTCACTTGATAGTTGTAGATGAGTATCTTGCTGTACTGTTCTACGACAAGGATAGGAAGCGGGGATATTCGTAGATCGCTCGGCCTGTGTGACAGCATCATAGTTGTTTCTACTGCACTGTGGTGTTCATCGTCCCCCCTCGGTTCACCCAGTGGTAATGACTTGCTACCCAACTGAGCTATTTCGTTCAGCAGTTCATTGTTCCACTGTATACTTTGAATGACACATCAGTCGCCCCTTTCGGGATTGCGTCCACCGCCATCTACTCCCCTCATTATAGAAGCATCGCCTTCATATACGTCTGTATGGGTGTCTTGGGGTGTACTCTTCGTAGTGGGGTTCCTTGTAACCCTGGTTGCTTTGTTTGCTCTACAGTATAGTCGTCGAGCTAAACGAGCTCGAGAGAAGGAGAAGGAGCTGAGGAAAGGGGAACAGCGGAGCAGGTCAGAAGCCACTAAGGTGGGTATCAGGTAATAGTCCATAATTAGTAATCATTCATTCGCCGCATACTTACCATTGTATAGGAGTAAGCTGCTTCCTGGTCATCACCGACCTGAACGTAGTAGGTCGTCAGGCAGTAAGGACGATCCACGGACAGCAGCCTCTAAGGATGGTAGCCTCATCCCTAGGGAGCTATGCGCTAGTGCATGGATTCAGATCGGAGGCATCATCACCATCATAGACCATCCCGTAGCCCTCCCGAGACTACTACGTCCAAGATCCATCCAGCCTATCGAGACGTCACCTCACCCTCTGCTCTCGACAAGCATAGGAAGGAGGCTACTGCAGACGTCAAATCATCATCATCATCGAAGCACCGGGAAGATAGTGACGGCACGAGGGTGAGACATGTTGTCGTGTTTGCTTGCCTCGAATGCGTGTCATCACGTAGGATAAGGATCGGTCGAGGCTAGTCCTCCATGGACAGCATCGTTCCCACCATCATCTTCATCACCATCGCTCCGATGGCAATAGAGTATAGTAGCAGTAGAGGAATGATCCACCATTGTTGTTGTGTATCCCGTCGCATCTACCTTTGATGAGCTTCTCTCTCCTTGTGCTTACCATCATGCTTACATGTCTATCTTACCTCCATCTATCCCTATAGTTTTGTTCAACCTACTAACTCATCACACTCCTCAGCCATTACTCGTGCATGGAACCTCATAACTGGTCTACTCCCCAACCCCTCCCCCCTGCAGTCATGGATACAGCAGCAGCAGCAGCAGACGGCAGCAGCCAGCAGCAGGCTACCGATCACTCGACACCACCATTCTCCCCACACCCTTACTATTCGGCCCGCGTCATGTCTGATGTCTCTGAGGATCGTCATAGTGGCGACAATGAGCACTCAGCTGTTCTCCTCAAACCAGGTTGGCGCCGTTGCCTAGCGCTATTCGCTCATCCCCTCCTCAGGTCCCGATACCAATGCTTCCATCCTGGCCGAAATAAATCGTCTCAGACGGGCGGGAATGTGGTGTGACGTTGTACTCACGTAAGTGCAGCAAGGACTCGTAGGAGTGGGTCAGAAGGCGGTCCTCAGGTCCTCAGATGGCGTAGAGTTCCCCGCTCATAAGGTTGTTCTCTCGGCCTTCAGTACCTATCTAGCTACACTTCTATCGAGTAGTAGTGGCTTCAGAGAGGCCTCTACCTCCTACTCTGCTATGATGCATGATAATGATTATGACGCTCTTCATCTAAGGATTGACTCCCTGGATTCAGAGCTTCTGGGATGCATCCTAGACTTTGCTTACGGTTGCGATACTACCTTGCCTGTAGGAACTACAATCACTGACAGGCCCGTCTAGCATTCGTGGCTCTCAGTCGGCACGCCTACCAGAGCTGCTCCTGGCTGCTCACCGTTTCGAGATGCGTCGTATCCTCGTGCCTACTGCAGAGATACTCAGTAGCGTACTCGACATCGACCTATGCATACGCCTCTTGGTGGAGTGCGGTCCGGTAGAGCGCTATGATGGGATCCTGTATGCCCAGAGCTCATCTTAGGTCATGCAGGATACTGACTCACTATGGATGGCCGTATCGAAGTATGCTGGCAAGAGGTTTGGCAAGCTGGTGGCATCTCCAAACTTCCCAAGACTCCCAGTCTCGGTAGGACATACACTAACGTCGTGTCAGTTGTTGTTGTTGTTGTTATTGCTGCTCCCCCTCCCTCCCTATAGATCCTCATGCTCCTGTTATTGGATGATGACCTTAAATGTGGTATATCCAATTCTATAGTATTCAGGGAAGGTGCTACTGATCGTCAACTTAGTGAGGATCAGGTATTACATCAAGCCACACGCTACGCTTGGTCCCCACTCTACTTCTATATAGGTCATGTTTGCTATATGTCGATGGTCGGTAGCGCGTAAGGATATAGATGATAACACAGGCCATTTGGATCCTCTTATACCACTCGTCAGCAGCCTACCACCCCCAGCTCTTTATCAAAGGTTGTTTCTCCTCTCAGGTCCGCTTCGGGCTCATGTCAGCCATCACTCTGGCTATGCTAC